CCTGGAAGGGTTTGGCGCTCGGAGGTCGTGAGCATGACGTCACTCAGCGTAGCGTCTGGCGACCGTAAGATTTCTCTACCGTCCAGCGGTTCGGAATCGAACACGGAGGGAGCGGGTCGAGATTCGGAAGGCGTCGCGGCAGATTTACAGAATCTATGGTCGACGGAGCTATTGGGAATCGAGCCTCAATCAGAGAACAGAAAAGATGAGGATAGCTCAGAGCTAAAAAATTTTTTCGAGAACAATATCAAACGCTTGGAGAACGGCCATTACATGGTCAAATTGCCATTCAAGAACAACTTGCGAACGCTAGGAGACAACGAGAACATAGCACGCGCCAGTCTCAATCGGCCACTAGCAAAAACAAGAAAAAATACGATCCTCTTGAAATCCCTAGACGACGAGATGCGGAACTACGTCGAAAAGGGTGATGCGGAGGTAGCAGCGGCGAAAAGGCCGGGAGAACTTGCTCACTATCTCCCGTTGTTGCCGGTGATTAGGCGCAACAGCTCAGCAGAGATTGTCAAAGTGAGAGTTGTCAAGGACGCGGGAGCGCGAAGGAAGGATGAAGCGGCCCTTAACGACGTCCTCGAATGCGGAAGTTATCTACTCCCAGACATACCAAAGGTGTTGCTGAGATTTAGACGAGAGAAAATCGCGATCGTCTCAGACATTGAGAAGGCATTCTTGCAGTATAAAATTCACCCGGATCATCGCACATTCCTGAGCTTTTTCTGGCCGTTGGGTATAAGTAAAGACTCGCGGGCGCCAATCCAGGAATACTGGAGCACAGTACTCGACTTTGGGATCATTTCTAGTCCATTATCCACTGTGCGGGTATAAAATACCACATCAGTAAGCTCATTAAGGAGCACCCGGACAGATCCAGTCTCCTGCGGGATATCGACGAGTCCTTCTACATGGACGATCTAGAGGCCAACGCGAATTCGGTTACGGAAGGCCTGGAGCTTTTCCGTTTTATGTTTGATACATCCAACGCAGGCGGTTTCAAACTCCGCCGACGCGCAACTAACGATCCAGTCTTGGCGTCGGATATGCGGAACGCGGAGAAAGACCCAGATAATCAGATACAGTCAAGTGCCGCTAAGTTGGAGCTCCTATAAGTTGGAAAACTCCTCTAACTTATAATTTAGAGTCGCTTTTCTCATGGTTTGCTAAGTAAAAGCATAGACCCCGTGTTGACTCTCTCCTCTAACTTATAAAACCTCCTCTAACTCATAATTTGGAACGATTTCGCCGCCCTAAGTTGTAAAGCGCGGAAAAATGTCGAGAATCGCAGCCCATGGACCAGGGCATCATTTGTAACGTGAAACAGTTGTACAAAAAAAAGCTGGTCGAACATTACTGGGCCATGGCACAGGACGGTCGAGTGAAGGAAATAAATTTGCTCCAGGGTATCCGGTTCCTGAGAGAGTCATGGGACGATGTCAAAACTTCCACCATATTCAACTGCTTCAAGAAATGCCTCCCGAACGTTCGGAATGCCAGCGCTCAAAGTGAGAACAGCGATGACATAGACGAACCGGATCGAATGATTATCCGAGACTGTTTCCCCATTTCCATGACTTTCGGGGACTTCGTTCAGGCTGATCGGCAACTTGTGACTTCCGATGATTTCGAGCCTGAACACAATGAGGTCCTCAGCGAAACCTCGGATGAAGAACCCGAGTCCCCCTTCGAGGAGCCCAGTTGTGGTTTGGTGACCGGCCAAGAGGCTCTCCGAGCCTTGGCTACATTGGTCAACCATTGCTCTCAGAGACAAAATATTGTTCCAGGGATCAGCATGGCTCTACATCAGTATCGAGATCTTGTTATTTGTGACATTCTACAGGAAAAAAGACAGGCAGATCTTCGATATTATTTTTCGAAATCGAAGCCCTAGTTGTTTGGTTGTATTTTGAAGACGAGAATCGTATTGATGGGGACTGACTTCGTTCGGAACGGTAGATAGTAGAGACTGAGTACGATACATAGTCAGGACTCTCCATAAGTTAAAAAACGTAAATCCGCATGGAGAAGATGGAATAAATTAAAGCAGATATCCGTTCATGATCACTATCGTCAACTTTATGCCTGCATTCATGGGGGCAGATAATAATCAGCGCGCATCTGTCCGAATTAATCCGGTCTAGATAGACCCTCCCCTAACTTATAAGTTAGAAAAATATTCAAACCCTACTCCCGAATTTTACAAGTTAGCGGCACTTGACTGTAGTTTGCGACCAACCTGATTTCAAGTTTCTCGGAGTGAGCTGGAACCAGTCCTTAGATTGCTTGCACATAAACGTCCAAGCAGCACTGGGAACTTTCTCCTCAAACGCACCATCGAAACGCAGTCTGCTTAAGGGCACAGCACAAATTTTCGATTCCTTGGGGATAATTTCGCCGATAACTATCACAGCAAAGACACTGCTCCAGTCACTCTGGCGTCAAAAGATATATTGGGATGCGAATCTCACTGACGGGAACTTGGAAGCTTTCGGGGATTACATTGACTCACTCGGGGAGGCGCGCAACGTGTTTGTAAACAGAAATATTCTCTCGTCTCAGCAAGGCATCAAAAGAGAAATACACGCATTTTGCGACGCTTCGATGGAAGCACTCGGAACAGTCGTCTACATCCGAGAACTCTCGAACGCGGGCGGCGCCAAGATTCATTTCGTGGTTTCGAAGGCTAGGGTAGCTCCACTCAAGTCAGAATTCCCAATCCACCGTTTAGAGCTCATCAGCGCGGTACTATCAGCGCGGCTGGTCGACACAGTAAAGTCGCACCTCAATTATCATTTCGATTCAGTCAAATATTGGTCGGACAACTCTCCCACTTTACATTGGATTAGAGACAACCCCAATCGGTGGAAGTCTTTCGTGGCGAACCGCATTAGAGAG